TTCGGGCACCGAACGTCTTTGGCACAATACACATGAGACCTGAGTTTGAATCCCACCCCCATCGTTTTTTCCTTTTTTCTTGTCCGTAGGTATTTCGTTAGGTAAAGTTAACGGATTTTCTTGTTCGTAGGTATTTCGTAGGTAAAGTTAACGGATGCATGTAAGGGTGGTTCCGTAGGTATTCCGTAGGTAACTACCTACGGAATTCCTATGAGATTCTTAACTGGCGCATGTAAGAGTGGTTCCGTAGGTAAATATCGACAGAATTCCTACGAGATTCCTTCCGTCGCTATTCCGTAGCTATTCCGTCATAAATCCGTTAGTAAACTAGGGCATTCTTTTCCGTAGGTATTCCGTCACTATTCCGTCGGTAATTACCTACGGAAAATTTCCGTAGGTATTTTTCGTAGGTATTTCTCATTTTTCTAGTAGTGACTCGAGAGTTATTGGTTAGGGACTCATATTGACAAAAGATAAGTTATGGACTCACCAAGTTCCAACGACTCAACTTGTATTTGCTTTAGACTCATTGACTCCGAGTCATTGTTGTTCATGGCTATGTTGGTTACAGTTGGCTGTGTTTATAGGAAAAATCAATTTTGGATTTAGAGATGATCTATGGTGAAATCAATCATAAGGGTAGGCTATACAATGAGAGAATGAGAGGAAAAGTTTATTGCAGAAAACCCTGGAAAGATATACTAAAATCAACAAGAGCAGGGAAAAAAGATCAACCAAGAAAGAACCATGTTCAAGAATGTCGATCAAAAGGTATGTGAGTTTTGGGATTGTAGGCTCTAATATCACTTATAAGAACAAACACACGGTGGAAAACTGTCGCAGAAAAAACCATAATACACTTTTAATATTCACTTAATTAATTCAACAATGCATGAAGGTTACTTGGCTATGAAAATCACCCAAGGAGATAAGGAAAAGAAATGTGAGGGAAGGAATAAAATCTATACATCACTTTGTATAATAACCTTACAAGTCTCATAATTTCACTCATATAGCCTTGATAAATAGGAACATTTATAAATGAATGGAGTTCTAATAACCATCTAATAACTCCATATTATATGATAATTTCTGAATTTACATGAAATATAAATCATGCAACAATGTAAAAAAGTACAAGGAGTGGCGGATGCAGCCACTTTGAGTGGGTGCATTGCCCCCACTTTAAAAGTGTGTACCATCATATACTATAGGCAAAAAACATATTTTTTTAGAAAAAAAATTACATATTTGGTCCCCACTCTAACATTTTTGGCACCCAATTTGGCTAAAAATCAGAAAAAACCTTGAAAATTAATATATAATTACTATTATTCATGTACTAATTAATTTTTATACAAAGTGGTCCCTGCTACACCGTAGTTCTGGATCCGCCACTAGGAAAGTATTAAAGGTTACATAAAAGGAAAGTACTACTCTAATAGCACATAAAAAACTTATAAAAAAAGAGGTTGCAATAGCAACAACATATGCCATGCAAACTAGGTTTTGATCAACATCTTGAACACTTAAATTTATAAATCATTACCATTGTAAATAATTTATTACTACCTAGTCAGACTTCTTTTCATGCAGAGTTTGACACATCTCTAAATATTATTAAAAGAGAACCCTTAATTCTAAACTGAAGAAATCATGGTCATTGATTGCATTTCAATCATATATTTTCCACCATTGGATTATTTCCTGACATCATCTTTGTAAACCCCTTTATTTTTGTCCACAAATTTTATAAGACGTATATTATGTTTTAAATTAGGAACTCTATTAATGACAATTAAATCTCACCAAAAATAAAATGATTAAATTAGGAATTCTATTAATGACAATTAAATCTTACAAAAAACCAAATGAAAAAATACCCCGCCCCACCCCTCATTACCAGTACCCCTATGCTCTCTCCCTCATTTCTTTACATAATCTATCTAACCTAAGTTTTGTAGTGGAGAAGACAATGGGGGAAAGAAGAAATAGAATATATGCGAGCTTCGATCTGTATGGATCAGTCTTGTTTTCGATTATCATGGGTTGTATGATATAGAAAAATGTACTAGAAGATGCTGTATGGCGGAATATGATTGGTTGTCACCATTCATGGGCCTATGGGCTTGACCCATAAGGGTTTTAGGTCTAATCCCTCAAGTATAAATAAGGATGCATGCTAAGTCATTTTGTATTTTGAATTCTACAGTGTTATGCGAATCTCTGTGAAAATTATACTTGTAACCTCTGTTTGAGAGCTTTGAAATAAAGAATACCCCTTCCTGCCCGTGGACGTAGGTCACCTTGACCGAACCACATGCCCGTGGACATAGGTTACCGAACCACATAAATATTGTGTCTTGTGTGCTTTTGATTTTGTTAGTTATCCTATTTACTTCCTAACAACTATGCTAATAGAACATGAAAAACTTATAAAAAAAAGGGTTGCATTAGCAAACTGCATATCGCCGTGCAAACTAGGTTTCTGATCAGCATCTTGAACACTTAAAATTTATATATCATTAACATTGTGAATTATAGACTTCTTTGTGCAGCGTGTGGCACATTATATAACGATATTACACATGCTTTTCTCCTCCTATCTCGCCACTAAAATTGAAATCGATTGTCCATTCACGGAGCCATTTTCCAAATTATTATCTTTTGCCAAATCTGGGTCATGCCTCTCAATGAAGAAAGCTGGTCGTTTTGGCTCAGGTAGATGCATATTTTCATTTGTGAGCATAGAAATAACTTCTGACATGGTAGGTCTGTCGATGGCATGATCTTGAACACAGAGGAGACCCACATGAATGCATGTCATTACTTCCTTGGGAGTGCATGAATCTTCTAATACCGGATCCATCAACTCCAAACCTCTTCCTGCTTCATTCCATAGTTCCCATGCCTGAATCAGTTTAAACATTTGTGCCACATTGAGTTGATGATTTTCTTATATATTAAGCAATGAAATAACTTGTCTCGCATGAAGAAAATCTGTCTTGTATAGGTTAACTTACGTGTCCAAGAAGGTTGAGTGGGTGTTCCGGATCATGTTGGGTGCTCCCGTGATTCATTTTGCTACTTACAATTTCAAGCAACAAAACACCAAAACCAAACACATCTGTTTTTGTTGAAACAGAGCCTTCTAACATATACTCTGGCGGCATATAACCACTGTTTTATTTCAAACCAAGAGTTATTGTTTGGGAGTTTATGTTAGCTAGGGACTCATATTCACAAAAGACGGGTTATGGACTCACCGAGTTCCAACGACTCGACTTGTATTTGCTTCAGACTCATCGATCCCAAATAACTTAGCCATACCAAAATCTGAAATTTTTGGCTTCAGGTAGTCATCTAGCAAGATATTACTAGCTTTCAGATCTCTATGGATAACCCTCAGCCTTGAAAACCTATGGAGATATAGGAGTCCCTGAGCAATGCCGTCAATGATTACAAACCGGGTATTCCAATCCAGTAGTCCTTTCTTCCTAGGATCTGTTAGCATTTAAATGAGAAAAATAGCCAAACTCATATAGAAAATGAAGCAAATCTTTATTAGGTCTGTTAACAAAGCATGTTTTAGATCATCTTACCAAATAGAAAGGAATCCAAGCTTTTATTAGGCATGTACTCATATACAAGGATTTTCTCTTTCTTCTCAATGCAACACCCTATAAGCCTGACAAGATTAGTGTGTTGAAGTTTGGCTATGAGTTCGGTTTCATTCTTAAACTCCTTGACTCCTTGTTCAGAGCTTCTTGAAAGCCGTTTTACAGCAACCTCTTGCCCATCAACTAATTTTCCCTGTAAGATCCATCACCTGATCAGCTTTTATCTTGAATCTTCTTAGTTAAATAGAGTGTGTTTGAAAGTTTACCTTATAAACTGCTCCAAAACCCCCCTCCCCTAACTTATTTGCGCTTGAGAAATTGTTTGTGGCAGATGAGATGCTTTGAAATGTGAAGTAATGCAGCTCAGCATTCACCTTGTTATCTGCTCGTATGTAATTGTAGAAGTGCCTCAGACGATGCAGCAACAGCTTTAGGATTTTCTTCACTTCCAAAAAAACAACCAACATGACATATTTAACAGCTTTCCCTAATTTGTTAACAAAGAAAGAGTATTAGATAGATCGATAGATTGTGTGCAAAGTAAAAAAACTTGACGTAATTACCGTTAATATTTAGCTTCTTGTATAAGAAGTAGCATGATAGGAATGAAACTAAAGATGCAATCGCGATGATCGACCAAATCCGGACCCACTTCTTCTCCTTTTCTGCAAATGAAGAAAATTTGTTCTCTTTTTATGTCGGCACATTTTTGTTGTTATTATATTGTCAATATCATTTGCAACAAATGCGATAATAAATTTTTTTATTTAGAACAAATAATCGCGTTACATTTTGTTTTGTCCTGGTTCTTCTGGATGTTTATGTTGGACAGGATGATTTTTGCCCGACCCCAACAAAAACTTTTC